CTGCTCCATCTCTCCCCTTCCCGCTACCTGCTCCCGCTTCTCACCTGACTTTCGCCTCCTCTCCTGACACCCCCACAGCTTGGTCTGTGACTCCGCATGCTTTTCCCTACTTAGGCCGTGTGACCTCAGGCGGGTCACCGGCCCTGGCTGGGACCCCCAGGGGCGCAGCATCGCCCTTCCCCACATTAGCTGGGCGCACAGGCGGGCGTCTCCCCCCCGCTCCCCAGGCAGCAGCAGCAGCGGAACCGACTGGGCAGCGGAGGAAGCGGGGACGGTCCGTCCATCTCCTGGTCTCGCCAGACCCGGCCTCCCGCTGCCGTGACCGGCCGAGGGGACGCGGCCAACCGCTCCCGGAACCGCAGCTCCTCGGGTAGCTGAGCTGGAGCGCGGGGGGCGGGCGGGCGGGCCGGCGAGCGCGGGAGGCTCACCCCGTCCCTCTCCCCCTAGTGGACAGTTTCCGCAGCCGCTGCTCGTCCGCCAGCTCCTGCAGCGAGTTGGAAGATCTCCCGGAATCCCTCCCGAGAGGGGAGAGCTTGGGCTGGGGGATGGCCCGCCTCCAAACGGGTGTCTGGGGAGACTGGAAACAGTCTTCTGCAGGGAAAGTGGGTTCTGGAGGCTGGAGGCTTGAAACCACGGAGGAGGGCGAGACGGGAGTTGCCCAAGACCCCCACTGGGCCTTAATTCCTTCCTCCCCCAGCGCTGGCCGCCGCGGGAAGCCTCCCAGACCCCCCACCTGGAGCGGGTCCAACAGGGTGAGCGTCCTTCCTCAGGCCTTGGAGGAGGTGGGGCAGCGTGACACACCAGAGGACGCTGTCCCTCTCTCCCATGAGTCCATTCTGGGGGTCAGGGTACAGAGGCAGCTCTGAAATGCCTCTGGACTCAGAGTGTTTTGAGATCCTTGGAGGGGAGGAGGTATGATGGTGGCAGGGCCAGAGGACGCTGGGCAGAGCACCTGCCCCAGCCTCAAATTGCCGGGTCTTAAAACCTGGCTCCCCTTCCTGTCACCTGTGACTCAAGGTGCTTACTTAGCCTCTCTGGACCTCGGTTTCTTTATGAGTTAAGTAGAGATGGTTACAGTAGTTGCCTCAGAGGGTTCTGCTGGAGACGCAAGGAGGATATTTTGCATAGAATAAGTGCCCCTTAGGTGTCAGCCGTTGTTTTTTCTGGGGTCCTTAGGTTCAGAATTTCCGGTAGGATTTAGGGGGCAGGAATAGAGGGAGGGTGCCTGACCCCCTTCCTGCCTCCCCCAGCAGCAGAAGTCCAGCCCCGTGGAACGCGGCCGCCATCAGAGACGCCTGGCCAGTTCGGGGGGCTGGGTCCCCATCAAAGGTGAGCCTGGGACTCCTCATATCCCCCTACCTGCCCCAGAGCTGGCTGGGATGGCACCCAGCGCAGCTGGTTGGGCCCCGGAGCTCCCCGCGGCTCCAGGCCCCTCCCAGCCCCCCACCCCCGCTCTGTTCCCACAGAGTACAGCTCCCACCACCAGGCGGCCGACAGGGCGGAACTAGACGCCGGCCTGAAGGCCCTGCAGGAGTACATGATCCGCCTGGACACGCGGTCGTGACCCCAGAGAGGGAGACTGCCCCTCTGTCCCCCGTCCCCCAGGATTCTGCGTGGGGGGCGGGGTCCGTGCGTCCTTCCAGCACGTCCCTTCCGGAGGTTGAGGTCTTGAGGAAGACACAGAAGGAGGGGAGGTGGGTGGCAGGACACAGGGTCACAGTGAGTGCACCTTTATTGGAGGGGAGGCAGTGGGGTTTGTGACTGACGGTGGGGTGGGGGAGATACCAGGGCCTCAGTCCCTGTAGTGTGGCCAAGTCTGGATGATTCTGTAGAGCTGGTCACCTGGAGAGAGCGTGTCCCGCACATCCCGGTGACCTTTGACCTCGTAGTCAGGCATCAGGGCTCCCTGGGCCACGCCACAGGCCAGCAGACTCTGGGCCGCCCTGAGGGCTTGTAGTGGGGGTGCCCGCTCTGGGGGAGGCAGAGGCAGGAGTGAGGCTGGGGTGCCCTGAGGGGCAGAGGTCGTGTGGGGCAGGGGTTCCCATGGTGCCCTCCCAGCTGGCCTGCTGGGGCCCAGAACCGGCTCTGCCACTCCCTGGCAGTGACTCCACCTCTCTGTGCCTCAGTTTCCTCACTGTGAAAGGAGAGACTCATGGCACCTGCCCACAGGGCTGTGGGATGGTAACATGAGTTCCTTTCAGCCAATGTCGGCTGGCAAGGTTCTCACTGATTCCCCTTCACCTGCCCCCAGCCCTCCTGTTCCTACCCGCTGCCATTTATCCAGCACTTCGTAGGTGTCATGGACTCGCCTAAGAACTTGATACAGAAGAACTAGTCCTCACCAGAACCACGTGGTTGAAAACGGTCATTGTCGAAAGGAGGACACGAGGCTCAGAAAAGCAGAGTCACTGCCCGAGGTCACAGAGCGTGTCGGTGGCAGGGCTTCTGAACCACCATGAACCACTCCCTGCCATCCCCCAGGCCCCATGTCGCCCCTGTCCTGACAGCTGGACACTCACTTATCCATGTAGTTATCCATGAAGCTGATGCCGATGAGGATGGAGTTCCAGGTGCGACCTGAGTGGGCGCCATGGGTGTTCCAGCCCCGGCCCTCATACACAAGCCTGTCTTCTCAGATCAGGAAGCTGTGGGGGTGGGGGGTTGATGAGTGAGGGAGGGCTTCCCGAGGGAGGACCTCTCTTCTTCCTCCACTCACCCTGCCCCTGTTCCTGCCACTCACACACAATCCCCCGACACCCTCCCTCTTCTTCCCTGATCTTCCACAATAATAGCAATGACAGGGGCCCCTGCCATGTGCCAAGCACAGCTCTACATGCACCTTTTTCCATCTTCACAGCAATCCTGTGAGTCACTACTGCCTCCATCCCGTAGATGATCAGAGAGGAGCAGACACCTGCCCAGAGTCACACAGTGGTCAGAGGCAGAGCCAGGATTTTCACCCAGGTTCCCGTGACCCCCACCCACATGGTCTGATTTCTTGTTCTCTCCTGCTTCCCTGGAGGATTTGTCCCACTCTTGATTTGATGGGTCTCACGTGCAGTCCTCTGAGGGAGCACTGTTATCATCTCTGCTTTAAGCTGAGGAAGCAGAGACTTAGAAAGAGAGGGGATTCACCCAAGGTCATGCCCCGGGGACTCCTGACTCTCAGAATCTCCACCAAGAAGCTCCTCTGCCCTCACCCCAGCCTGCTTCCTGCTTCCTGCTCTGTGCTTGGTGCCCTCAGTGACAGGATGGGGACTCAAGGGCTGGCACCACAACCAGACCAGACCCTGGAGCCCCAGCATCTGCCAATCTTGGCAGCAGATCCTTAAGACTCCCTCATCCAACACGTCTTGATGGAGCGATTCTGACTTGGCACATTGAATTAACCAGGGGATCAGCTTCTGGAGCTGCAGTGTCTGCCTCCTCAGCCCTCTGGCTCACAGCTCACCAATGACGCACATAATGTTGGAACTTTCCAACCTTGGGTCCTGAATCTGCCACTTAGGAAGCCAGACGCTCAGAATCTGGCTCTGAAGAGACTAGAAATACTATAGTGGAGCCGGCCCCAGGACTGGGTGGTTATGGCCCGGCCACAGCCCCAGCCCCTGGAAGGCAAGTGGTGCTCCCTGTGCATTTGTCACATGGAGACATCTGACTGAAACCTCAGCCACCACCAGGGGGGTACAGTCAGGAGCCCATTGTACCGGGGAAGAAACTGAGGCTCAGAGAGAGAAGGCGACGTGACAAGGAAGGGGGATTCAGAACGTTTGAATCACACTCTGAATCCTAAAATCTGAGAAGTTGACTTCTCTCCTGTAGGAGGATTCAGGCCAGAGGCTGTGGACCAGGCTCTGGTCTTCTGACTTCATGGAAACTCTTGGATGGAGCGCCCGCCTCTTGGAAACAAAATCTGCAAGTTGGAGCCTTTGAATTGTAAGATCTTTAGCCTGAAGAGCTGGGGACACCCGTGGAGGCTTCTAGATTTCTCTCAGTGAGGTCCTCAGATTCCCCGGCCTCCCCCAGCCCCACTGAAGCAGTCTCTAAGGGAGGTACCTGGGGACCTGCATCTCCAGGAAGGCGATGCTGGTGCTTCCCGAGGTCTGAGAACCTGTGGGGTTCAAACCCTCTTTCGCTGTGGAAACCCGTGTGCTGGAGCCCAGCCTGTTACCATGGACAGGGCTCTGGTGGGCGTGGGCCCCAGAGGCAGATCTGAGTGTCCCTGTCCCTGTTTCTGCCCTCGCCCCCTCGAGTCTGTCCTCCCCACAGCAGCCAGAGGGAGCTCCTTACACTAAGCAGGCTCCTGTCCCTCCTGTGGCTCCCATCCTCCTCATAGCAGAGCCACCGTCCTCACCGGGGCCCACAGGCCCTGTGCCCTCTGTCCCCTCCTCCTCATTTCCTCATTCCTCCCGGCCACCTCCAGCCACCCCGACCTCTGTCCCTCAGGGTGACCCGCTCACTCGGCCTCAGAGCCTTTACCCCGCTCTTCCCCCAGCTCACTCACTCTTCCCTCAGCTCCCCCATCCTAGAGCCACCTCAGCCACTCTTCCTTTTTATTGTCACTTCTGTCACCGTGTGAATTCATCTGGGTGACTTTGCTTGTTTCTCCCTGCTGGTCTTTAAATCCTCCTGGGCTACTCCCGTCAGTTCAAGGCTATGTCCCTATCCCAGCATCCAGCACAGGGCCTGACACATAGCAGGTGCCTAATGGCCATAGTCCCTGCATTTTGGGGCTCTGACTTCATGCCAGGCAGTGTCCTAAGAGCCTGGCCTGTATTGACTGGTTAGTGACCAAGTGGGCACAATCCCGTTGACTGTGCAGAGGAGGAAGAAGAGACTGAAGCTGAGGGGGTGAGTGACTTGCCCCGGGTCTCGGCCACCGTGAGCAGAGCTGGGACAGGAGCCCCGCCCCGTGCAGCCTGTGTCTGCCTCGTAACAAAGCACAGACTTTCTGAGGGGACCCCAGGGTTGAGGACACCGTGGTGCGTGTTGGCAAAGTCTGTCCCGTCCCCAGGGCGCAGAGCTTGGATGTCAGCCCTCTCCCCTCGTCCTCACATCTTTGTGCTGCCAGCACACGCCCAGCCCTCTGTGGTGACCTTGGAGATACCAAGATGCCCAGGGTGTCAGCCAGGCGGCTCAGAGCCGGGTCCCACTGCCCCCGAGGCCTGCGCACCTTTCCCTCCTCCAGCCCCGGCTCCACCTGTGCCCCTCTGCACTCACTTGTAGCCCACGTCGCACCAGCCCAGTTTCCGCACGTGGTAACTCTGCACGTTCTGGACCTGCCTCACACACGAGGCGGGGGTGCCGCAGGGGCTGCCCGCCGTGTGTGACACCACCACGTAGCGCGCGGGCAGGTTCAGGCGCCGTTCGCACGTGGATGCCAGGGGGCCCCACTCTCTCCGGGGCATGATGGGGCCGCATGAGGTCAAGTCTTCTTGAGCCACTCCGAGCCCGAGGAGGGTGAGGAGGGTCCAGGTGAGCAGCGCGCAGGGGCGGGACATGGCGGGCATGGGGCACAGGGACGTCTAGGAGCTCGTGGCTGGCTGGGCCGCCTTTATTTGCTGGGGTGGAGCGGCTGGGAAGGCCTTGCTTCATGAAGGCAGGACGTCCCGGCAGCTTACAGGGATCTCGGACTCTGCTTCCTTTCCTGGCAGGGCTGCAACAGGATGCGGTGTGGTGGATCCTGGTGAGGTGGGTGGGGGGAGCCCCTGACAAAGCCAGAGGGACGCAGAAGGGCACACAAGCCCCTGGGCGCTTCACCCTGTGGTTCCTGGAAGACCCAGGGCCTGGATCCCTGCCCCGCTTTGTCTCTCAGTGCAGCTTTGGGCAACTCAACAGGAACTTAACACCAGAGAAGCGCCCGGAGCCTCATCTCCCTCCTCCCAGAGGAATGGAGGTAACAAAGGCTCTCACTTTTTAAACACTGCTCCCAGGTCCACACGCGATGTCCTTAACCCTTTCAGCAAACTGAAGAGGGGAGTACTGGGAAGCCCATCTCACAGTTGAGGTGACTGAGACCTGGAGAGGATGTCACGTTCTGAGACACAGAAGATAGCAGAGTCTGGTGGTCCAGAGCCCAGATCAGAGCCAGGCTGCCTGGGATTTATTTCTGGCCACACTCTCGTGTTGAGCTCAGACAGGTGACCTAACCATTCTGTGCCTTTTTTCTCCACTGCAAAATGGGGGGATAATGTAAAGTCTCTAATTCCTAGGGTGGACGTGGGATAAAATGGGTTGACAAGGGTGGAACCCTTAGATGTCTGGCTCCTACGGCCCCAGAAGCGCCACTGGGACTGGAGCTCACATCTGCCCTTGGTAGTAAGCCGCATGCTTACATGGGGCCACTGGCAGCTCCACTGTGCACAGGAGGGAACCTGACCTCCAGAGAGGAGCAGCCATCTGCCCAGGGCCACTCAGTGGCTGGGGATCAGCTGTTGGGGAAGAAGGCTTTCCTGGGGCCTCTGCCCTGCCCAGGCCCCCATTCCCACTCCCTCCCAGAGCACCTGGTGAGTTCAGGGCCGACTGCCTGGGTTGTTCTTCCTCCTTTCCTTACTTTAGTGGATTTAAAAAATTACAGAAGAAACACATGCCAGCTGTAAGTAGTTGAATTGTTAGGAATGTTAATCACCTGTGTCCCTCCAGCTCCGCCCACCCGAGGTCCCCAGTGAGACCAGTGTGGGGTGTTTCTCCCACCATATTCCCCATGCTTAGGTGGATCATGCTTACACTCATGATGTCATCGAATAGCGCACCAGGCAGCTCTAAGCCCTTTCCATTTATTATCTCGTCACCTGCTCCCAACAGGTTTGTGAGATGGATGTTATTATTAACCTCCTTTCACAGTCACAGATACTGAGGCCCGGAGGTGTTACCACATCCAGGGAGAAGATGGGAATGTCACGGTTTAGCCACAGGCTTCCTGGCTCCAGAGGTGAAGTTCTAAACCATATTCTGCTTCCTATAATCATACATAAAGGCATATTTTTTAAAAACAATAAAATGAAAACCATGCACATTAGTTTGCTTTTTGTCACCTAATATTTCAAAGGCATCTCTCCTGTGCATCTCTCCAGGTCAATACATCGAATTCTAATTTATTCTTCATAATCGTTGCATAATATTTCATGGTATAGGTTCACCATTTTGACAGAATCTTTTCTTTTTTGAAGGTTTCCAGTCCCCCCTCTCAATGCTGCACAAAATTATTATCGAACATACAGCCCTACACACTGGAGCATTTATAAATTATAAATATGGACTTTCCAGGTCAAAGAGCATACACACTTAATAGATAGTACCAGATTGTTTTCCCCAAAAGGCTGTTAACAATTGACACTTCCGCCAGTAATGTATTAGAGCTTCACTCACTCCAGAAGTGGGTGTTCTCACTTCTTAAATGGATGGATATAAAGTGACATCTCTTTGTAATGTTAATTGGCATTTTTATGACCACTCAGGAGATTGAGTATTTTTCTAAGTTTGCTGCGATTTGGATTTGTCGTCTTCATCTCCATTGCCTATTTTTAAAATAAATTGTGTTGTTTGCCTTTTTGTTATCAATTTGCGAAACTAAGAAAAGATTTCCATAACTAGGATTGTTGACTTGTTGGGTATGTACATTTTGTGTCTAAGTTCTGTTTTAAAGCATGAGAAGAAGAACAGATGTGTAGAAACATAGAAATTTACTTTTTATATCGTTAATAGAATAGAATTTATAGTTAAGAGAATTAATAGAGTGGAGGGCTCTATGAATTTTAACACTGTGAATACACCATGAATCTAGCACCCAGATCAGGAAACAGAGCTACATTTTAAATTTTAGTAGATATTGCCAAATACCATTCCAGAAAAGTGTTAGTATTTCTTTTCCCCAGTAATGTGATCGGTTTTAAAATGCTTTACCAATCTTAGGAATGGTCCCTCATTATTGTTCTATTAGTATTTCCCTGAACATCAGACCAGTGATCATCTTTTTACATATTTATGGCTGTTTGCACTCTTCTTCTGTGAACAGTCTGTTCATCTTTTAATCATTTTCCCATTGGGTTGTTGTATATGGGAGATATTAACCCTATGTCTGTCAAATGTGCTGCAAATGTTTTCCTCTAGTCCATTAAACATTTTTTAATTGTTTCTATGTTTCCTGTCTTGCCTTAAGAAGTCTTTCCACAACACGATTATAAAACTTTTTCTATTAAAAAAATGTTATCTTGTGTTTTACTTTCAGTCCTTTACCTCTGTGGGAATATATAATAGCTATGGTGTGAGGTAGGGGTCTAACTTTGTCTCCAAATGGCTCACCATTTGTCCCAGCCCCATTTACTAAATAGTTAGACCTGGTTTTAAATTGCAGCCCTGCCACTTATTAGCTGGATGACCTTGGGCATTTGGGCAGCGTTTGACACAGTTGATCAATTCCTTCTTCTCGAAATGCTCACTTCCTTTAGGTTCTGTTTCATAAGACTGTCTTGAGTTTCCTTCTGCTTCTCTGGCTGGTTTTTTGTTTTCCCTTTCAGATTATTCTTCCCTCCTTGACCATTATGCTACACTTTTTCTGCAAGGTGATCTTATCCAGAACATGGCTTCAGCCACCACTGAAATGTGAGTGATTTCCAGATTTTTCTGTCCATCCCGGAGCTCTCAGCTGAATTCTGGATCTGCGTATCCACCTGTCAACCTGGAATCTCCAAATCGATGTCCCACAAGCCCCTCAAATGCAAGATTTCCAAAATGGCTCATGCTTTGCTCCTCCAAAATCCGCCCCCTTCCAGGACCCGTGTCAGGGAACGATATGATTGTCTTCCAGTTACAGAAGCCAGACATCTGAGCATCATCCTTGACCCACCCCACTCTCTCCCCAAAATGGCACCAAAACCACGCCCAGCTCATAGCAGGTGCTCAGTCTTTACTTAATGATTGAATGAACATCCAACCCACCCCCAAGTCAGGTTGCTGTTACCATCTAAACATCTTATGACTGAGACCACTCCTCTCTATTTCTGCTCTCTGCACTCTGGTCCAGTCACCATCTCCTCGCAACTGGATGTTGCTCCCACCTCCTCAGTGACCTCTCAGCATGCATCCTGGTCTCTGAGATGCCAAAGCTCAGATCTCATCAGGTCTTTCCTGAAGTTCACCCTACATCGTGAGTCACGTTTTTCCACGGCTTCTCAAGACTCTTAGGATGAGTCCAAGCTCCTCACCATGGCCGCCAGCACGGGCTGCCTCCACCCCAGCCTCGCCTGGCTCACTCCTGAGACCCTCTTCCTGAGTCCCCAGCCACCCCGCCCCTCTTGCTGCCCCTCTTGCTGCCCTTGAAGACGCTTTGACTTACCTGACCCCAGGGGACTTTGGATACACTCTGTAAGGTTTTCAGTAGAGGTACATAAAGAAATTCAGAAACTTTGTACCTTCTCTTGAAGATTACAAAACAGTCAGCTAGCCTTTTGTAAAAAGACAGAGATATTTACACATCAGATTCCTCAATGATACTAAGAATATAATCATTAGCCAGGTGTGGTGAGGTCTTCCCTTGTTACAATATTATTTATTATGTATCTTGCCAGCCTAATATGGAGACGTGCCCTCTTGAGAATTTCCTGCAACTTCAATCTGTAATTGTCATATTGCCTTTAATCCTGAGACTGTATTACTTGTGTACTTTTTGGATAGGAGGAAATTAGATTTGCTCCCTGTATGTTTTGGGAAGTTGAATTTTTGACTCCCTTTATTTGGTCTTGTTATAATTAATTCAGCCAGTATT